ATGATGATGATGATGATGATGATGATGATGATGATGATGATGATGATGATGATGATGATGATGATGATGATGATGATGATGATGATGATGATGATGATTGTGAGGATGATGATGATGATTAGACCGCTGAAGTTAACATGGATTAGAAGATTATATTCTAAATCAAGTAAATGGCAGAGTATCCTAGGAAAAAGTGTTGACTTGGGCATTTTGGCTAGCTGTGCATCAGGATACATAAAAGAACGTGAAATGAAGTGTAAAAACCAGTTTTGGAAAGATGTATTCAAATTTTGGAGGTGTCTTAAAGAGAAAGACAGACTTTGGTAAATGGGAATGATTCAGTTTTTAAAACACCTATCTGGTTTAATGACAATTTTACTGTAAATGGAAAAATGGTATTTCATAAAGAATGGTATAACAAAGGAATTGTTATTGTTAATGATGTAGCTAAATTTCCAAACACATATACCTTTTACAATTTTCAGGAATTTAAGGGAAAATATAATATCATCTCTAACTTCCTAACTTACCATGGCATTGTAAAATCCATCAGGGAATATACAGCACATATACGATTAGATGATGAGAGCATCTCTTACCCATTTATACCGATTAATTTAGAAATTTTCATGAAACATAGTAAAGGGTCGAAAGATTTCTACAATATACTTTGTCGAAATAACACTATTCCTACCAGAAGAACAAAGTGGAACAACATATTTGAAATAATTGACGAAACTTGGAGAAGTATATATGCAACCCCTTTCCGAGTTACTAAAAGCTCCAAATTGCATCGGCTGCAATACAGAATAAACCAACACATATTAACAACAAATTCATATTTATTCAAAATTGGTTTAGTCCATACTGTTCCTTTGGTAAAACAGTAATAGAAACAGTTATATATTTATTTTGGGAGTGCAGAGAAGTGCAGACATTTTTTGAGAACTTTGAATTTGTATTAGATGCTCTATTGATTCCATTTACTTTTAATAAAGAAACTTTCATATGTGGCATGCACAACAATAAACAAATATATACTACACAACAGACAATCTTATATTAATCATTATGAAACAAATCATCTATAGAGCAAGATGTTTACAGAAAACGTTATCTGTGTCCGCATTAAAATAAAAGATAATTATGTGAACTCAAAAATATATTTGCGTTAGTAAGGGTAATGGGAATGTACCAAAGTTTCATAATGTATGGAAACAATGGAATAAACTGCTAGAAATAACACCCATTAATGAGGATATTATTGATAAAAACTGAGGATGTTGTTGGTGATCATGAAATTTAGGTCAGCAATGATAATGTTGATGATGATTTTTATAATTGATGAGGATGATGTATTATTGTTGACAAGGATTGATAATGATAATGGAGTAGATGAATGAATTATATTTATCATCATGATGATGATAGTTTAATGATTAGGAATGCTGCAATGATTGACGTCAATGATAAGGTTAGATACAGTTGATGAAGAAACTTGTTGAAAGGGGATGATGATAATGATGATGATGATGATGATAATGATGATGATGATGATGAATGTTGAAGGTTGATTGAGGAGGATTATGATGAGATCAATGATTGATATTGATGTGAATGATGAAGGTTATATGACATTGACAGATATATATATAGATGCTAATGATGAAGATGAAGAATAGATGAAGATGATGTTTATTATCATATTGGAAGTGTATGATGATGTTGATTGCTTTTATAGATGCTGATGATTTATTTGGAAAAATAAAACAATTACAAAAAAAAAAAGCTTATGAAGGACACCAGGAGATCACAAAAACTTATATCGTCCATCTGATCAAAAAATGGTTTCCAAACATCAATGAGGAGCCGAAAAGTCATTGAGAATGTGTTGCTTGTCAAGCAAAATCAAAACCTATCTAACTAAGGAAGCCCATGGGGACCATGGCAGTGTCAAAGTGCCGATTGTCAATGATCTCTCTCTTCAGGAAATTACCAATTCGTAATAATCGACAAATACTCTTGAAACCCAATATTAGAAACTGTTACAAGAGTATATGCGAATGCTACAATACCCAGCCTGGACAATCCTTACCTTTGGTATCCCGAAAGTGATAAAACATGCTACAATACCCACCCTGGACAATCCTTACCTTTGGTATTCCGAAAGTGATAAAACATGCTACAATACCCAGCCTGGACAATCCTTACCTTTGGTATCCCAACTCGAATAGGTTTGCAAAGGATGCAGAGAACATCGGATTGGATCACCGGAAAATCAATCCTTGTTGGCCCACGGAAAATGCACAGGCCAAGGCGTTTAATAAACCTCTGAAGAAAATCGCGAAATCTTCTCACCTGGAGCACAAACAAAGATGAAAGCTTGAAATGCAGAAATTCCTCCACCAATATAGGGCGACACCGCATTCAAGTCCAAATTTACACAGTGTTTCGCTGTAGACTAGCTGTAAACTTGCAAAACAATGACAACTTGGGAAAATCTAAAATAAAATCCCTGGATAACAGAGGAAATAGAGCTTCATACCCAACTTTGAAGTCTTGCATATTGAGACCATGTAATCCTGAAATCTGAGGTGAAAAGAAAATTAACCCTAAAGTATAATATATGCCCATGCTAAAGGATCTATGTTCACTGCGTAACGAAGTGAGTGGAAAATAACTAGATTGTCTCATGGTTAAAATGTCAAGTTTGACGTACCCAACAATACAGCAGACAGTGATCACGTTATTGAAGATAAATATGTAACACAATACCAAAAACAAAAAGCCGACGTAATTATCCAGCGAGCTTCAAAGATTATGTATGTAACCGATTTGCTTTCATGCCGGCCTGAACATTGAAAATAATGCCGTTCAATCCTTATAATAGTGTTCTAAATGTTTCGTTATTATTGACCTAACTACAGATATTCCCTGATATTTTCGATGTTGAAGTTTCTGTTTCGTCTGTGCAAACGAGATTCCCGGAACAGTCTAACGTCACCAAAATGTTTTCTTCTATTGGTTGCGTCCCGATATTCGCGGCGAGAGGACAAGTTTCAAATACGCTGAACAAATTGTGTTGCAGTGGGAACTCTAATATATATATATATAACGCAATAGCCAAATATATATATACATATATATATAACGCAATAGCCAAATAGGAAAGCCTTCGTCATCACCCATGAAGACATTGATAGAAACACAAAAATGCATCTCAGGAGATGAGAAGGGATATGGAAAGGACCAACATTTAAAGTACTATGTGCATCAAGTACAAGCTAGTTAAAGATAAAAGTTAAAAGGATAACAAGGGCACAACAATCCCTTCAATGTAAACGGGTTACCTAAACATTTGCTAGTAAAAATCCCTTATTTTCGCTATTTTACGTTAACATGGTGCGGGTAATGGACATGGCTTTTGAACTTTTCCTGGTCATGCATCAAGGCATACATCTAGCCCAACATTTAAGTTAACGGATAAATATTGAACTTCGTTAAAATTCTTGTCAAAATGTTCAGTAACAAATTGCGGATTTTGATACAAAAGACTGCGCTCAAGAGAAATGATTTTAATTGTTTTCTACTTGAAATCAAACACTTATGTAGAACTAAACCCGAAGATTAAGTTCTATTCTAAAAATATATGAAAGGACGTAATATCATACAGTCTATTATACAATATTCATAATACTGAGATTCCGGAAATAATGCCCACCATTTGTTTATTATGTTATGTACACCGGAAGTGATCATTATTTAAACGCCTTCCATACAAAAATCAGAATAGTTTGTTGTGTTGCGGGGAGTCAGCCCAGTAACATGCATTTCAGCATTGGTTAGGAGATTTATCATTGTTCATAATAGATAACAGGCGCATAAACTCGCAATGCTATTCCATAAGTATAAAGAATCAATATATTATACAAAAAAAGACAGACTGAGGTTAAACTGATAAACTCTTGTTGTTTATGTTGCTTATCGGATGTCCTTGATCCTGTCACGTTAACGTGTGGTTATACCGCACACGTCCTGGATCAGTTGTCGTCCCGTCGCAGCCATTAGTGATACTGGTTTCTGTTGGGTGTATTATACATTCTCTCATTATTGTCACAGTGTGAAGGAGATATAACTTTTGATTGTGAACAATCAGAGTCGGAATTCGTTGCACTTAAAGCCACAGAGCAGGTGAAGCGGTGGTATGTATCAATTCAATTTTAATCAATTCCTTTATATCAATTAAATATTCCTGTAAGCCTAGATGGAAGAACGCTGGATACATGTATCTTAATGTGGGAGAAAACTGGAATCCTCAGAGACTAATCCCATGGCCAGGATGTTTCTGATCACCTTCACAATCAAACCCCGGCCACCTTGGTTACAGGCCAAGGCGCTACACACTGCGCTCAGTCTTACGGTCAATCTTGTCTTGTTATATATAGTGCCAAAAAATACACATGTTTTTAATGCAGAAACAGTTCGTCTGATTCGTACTTTACAAATCTAAAAATAGAGAATGTAAGTGTTTTCCCGTTTAATACATAACACATATCGCTCATATGTGATGAAATTGTGTGGACATGCATTTATTTACATGTAGCATGTGCCTGTATGTGTGTAAGGGTTGAGGGTTGAGGAGTGGCGTGTGTTTGTAGGGTTGGGGGTGAGGGGTTGGGCAAGGATGAGTGAAACCTCTTCTACGTGATGACGACATGTAATTGTTCCAATCAACCCCCCCCCTACCCCCC